CCCCCCCCCGGAGGAATTGAGTTTTAACAGTTTCCTTTGCTCCGAGATCAGAGAAATCGAGGAATTCTTTTATTCCGATACATGAAGGAGGAGGAAGGGTAGGAAAGGGTGCAAGGGAACACTGAGGAAAAGCGGAAGGGGGAATGAAAGGGGAAATGTAAGGAAGGTGGATGGGGACTGGGGAAACCAACACATAGTCGTCTTAAAGAATGTAACAAATCACAGAACACATAAACCATATTAATTGATTTTCAGAAAACTTTTTTTTTTCAAAATCTTCGATGTTCTACTTTTTTCAGGAATGGTTGTATCCTTGTTTGAGAACTCTTATTACTCTCACGGGATTATCCTGACACAGAGATGGGATAAGAAGATTGTTATCACACTCAACGCCAGGAATGATCATGACAGGTGAATAATTCCCAGACTTCCTGCATACCCCATGACCTCTCCGATTTTTCCTTTTACCTCCTATACCGCCTTTGACCTCTCCTATACCTAACTTGACATTCAATATAATCTTCCTGACAGAAACAATCTCATGAACTGACGAGAGTTAACCCAGACCGAAAATATTTTCAATAAAATGTGGAACTAACCTCTTTTTTACTCTACAGAGGTTTGGTCCATCACCATCACCGAATTTTAAATCATCCTTTGCCTCCGCTGCGCCTAACCTGACCTTCTATACCAAACTTGACCTCATATACTTCACTTGACCTCATATACACCCCCTTGACCACATATACCCCCCAAGACATCATATATCCCCCTTGAACTCATACACCCCTTGACCTCATATATTCCCCTTGACCTCATATACCCCCTTTGACCTCATATACCCCCTTGACCTCATATATCCCCTTGACCTCATATAACCCCTTGACCTCATATACCCCCTTGACCTCATATACCCCCCTTGACCTCATATACTTCCCTTGAACTCAAAACCTCCCTTTGAACTCAAATAACCCCCTCGACCTCATATATTCCCCTTGAACTCATATACCCCCCCTTGACCTCATATACCCCCCCTTGACCTCATATACCCCCCTTGACCTCATATACCCCCCTTGACCTCATATACCCCCCTTGACCTCATATACCTACCTTGATCTCATATACTTCACTTGACCTCATATGCCCACCTGACCACTCCTCTCCCTTGACTTCTGTTATATCTCTTTTGACCTCTTTTATATTTCTATGACCTCCTCTATACCTCCCTTGACCGCTTCTACTCCTCTCTGGACAGCTCTAGTTCCTTCTATGACCTCTTTCATATCTCCCTTGACAGCCTATACCTTCCTTGACCTCCCTTATACCTCCATTGACTCCTTTTATACCTCCCTTGACCGGTCTCAGATATCCCTTGACCGGTCTCAGATATCCCTTGACCGGTCTCATATATCCCTTGACCGGTCTCAGATATCCCTTGACCGGTCTTAGATATCCCTTGACCGGTCTCAGATATCCCTTGACCGGTCTCAGATATCCCTTGACCGGTCTCAGATATCCCTTGACCGGTCTCAGATATCCCTTGACCGGTCTCGAATATCTCTTGACCTGTGATATTGCTAGGTCTAAGTTTGTTGAAGACCTACGTGAGAGTGTAGCTGAGATGGATGAGATGGAAGCTCTACGTATAGAAGGAGAACTAGAGAAGCAGCATGTAGCTGCTAGGGTTTCCGTCTCCAGTGATTTCAGGGATTCAGGGATTACTGATCTTGATCCTCATGGTACACCGGCCAGGTAAATATGTTTTCTTTTAATATTCTAGGAAATTGACATTGTTGGATTTTAAGTTTCGTGGAAAATGATGGAGAAAAATATCAAAAAGTGATAAACCTAAAATGGAACCCTGGGGGGGGGGGGGGGGNCTTGTGAAACATTTGATCTATTTCTACTTTCATTTACTTATTACAATTTAATTAAAACTGTTATTTTTTTCATTCTTTTCCTCTTACCCCGTAAGTATAAATATTGAAAGTATAAATATTGAGTACCAATCATTCAGATAATTTTTTCCCTATTATTCTCGATTATTTCACCATGAAAATTTAATTGATCTTGTTAACTTTTGATTGTTTTCTACTTCCATACACTCTCAAGTTCACTAACGTGCTAGAAACTATCTTTATATTTTTTTTCTCGTCTATTTCTGTATTGCATTTCTGAAATTTCACACACAATAATGCTCACTCACGTGGTAGTATCTTTTTTCACATTTTTTATTTAGAAAAAAAGTATTATTATTTATTTCAGTAACTTGGCCATTTTCAAACAAAGAGATATTTTTTTTCGTTCTTTTTATATTTTGTTGATGTTAGATTTTGATTGTAAATATTGATATTTAAGAAAAATTGTGACATTTTTTAGAATTTTAATCCTTTCCTTATATATTTTAGATTTAAATTTTAATTTCCGAAACTAGTTTTTCAAGATTTTGCATTTTATACTTAAGCGTTGCAGAAATGATTTCAAGTAATATATCCGCTAAAATACACGTGTATGCAGAATGCAGGGAGTGTTGGGTGGGATGGTGGGGATGGGAATGGGATATTGGGAGAGAGATGGGAATGGAATATTGGTTAAGTGATGGGAAAGGGGATGGGAGACGGGAGGATGTGTGGATTTGAGATGGGAGTTGGGGATATGAGGGAATTTTTATATCAAAGGTCTGTGACATCTGAGCTGGGAGCTTTAGAATGGTAGATATCAGGATTAATGCTTAATCCTCTCCTTTTGCTAATCTCGAGATTATGTTAGTTTCCAGGTTAATTAATTTAGATCAACAAATTTGATTCTGGGAACGCCAGATTTGTTCGTTTTCTTGACTGTAAGGGCCTTCACGTAATTTCTCGCCCATTTATTTATTAACACATCAGTTAAAATTGGTTAAAAAAGAATCTCAAACGTATTATTAAATTTTTTTTTTTCACCGATTAATTTACAAAATGGCCGACAACAAATTCTTTATTTGTTAGAAATTGCGGAGGTCTCTCATGGGATAGAATTTATTTTCAAGGCTGTCATTGGTCAATACAATTTACGAACTATATTCCTGCACTCTCATTGGAGAAAACAATGTATTGATATTGGATATCCAAAGTTGAAAGAGAGAAAAAGAGTGGATTAAGGACTAATTTTAAAAATTTCTTCAGTGGATATTCGGATTTAGCAGTCGGGATTAAAGGTTATCCATTCTAAAGATCCCAGCTCTGGTTGCGAAGATTTTCTAATTTTAAAGTTTGTAGCAAGTTTTCAGTTCCCTTTTTTAAAGTTGCTACAAAATCTATATCTTCAAAAAGATTCATTTGGTATTTTTTTAATAATTTATTTGATTATTTTATCCCTACATATTTTGTTCATTTGAAATAATTCCTAAATCTGAATTAACTTTATAATTAATCCTTAAAGCCAATAATATCTATCAAATATGTAAATATTATGCTAATATTGATAATATTGATATAATAATATTTCTTCTGAAAATCCAATCGGGAATAATAATATATATTTTTGATTTTCGTATTTATTTTACCAGTATGTCCTCCATAATTTTAAGATTTACATCCAGTAAGTCAAACTTATTAAACATGTCAATTTAAAGTGTCTGTAAGCATAATTTCAATTCGCCTTCCACGCAAAGATGGTAATGTTCGATTTTCAACGATACCAGCTGAAAATCTTAATCTGATCAAAATGTTAAAGATGCCGTCGAAATTTGTTTATTTCCATGAATTTCTCCATTGCTTCTTATAATCAAGAAATGCGCAGGACAATTTTGCAGAGACACCGCAAATGAAGATTAACATTGATTCACACCACACAAATCTGCCACTTTGGTGAACGTAAATTCAACCTATATGAAGCATAAAGTCTGACCGCGTCAACCTTGTTGCAAACTGTTTTTTAACAGGTTTTGTTGTAGAAAGTATTCTTATTAGCCGTTATTATACTAAATTAACACTGGACAATATGTATGATAATTGTTGAATCTAAAAATACAAGCTACAGAACTTAAAGGGTTGAAAAATAGAAAAAAGTATTAATATTACTAAAAAAAAATTTATTTATTAAAATAACTTAGATATATAATAGGGACTTTCAGCAAAATATGCAAGTGTCGCGATTTTTCCCTGATAACCCTTGTAATGGGATAATTTGAACATTAATAATATAAATTAGATTTAAAGGTTATAGGGTATCATTGTGTATTGAACAAAACACTAGTTTTATTAAATGGAGAGTAAATTTGAATTACGTAAACTCTGTTATATTGTAGGAGTGGGTTTGGTAGTGTGGAGAGTAATGTAAACCTGAAGCGCGGAGCAATAAACAACTCCTTGTTGGATCTAACAGATAACTACAATATCCATCCTGGATTTACACAGCAGGAGAAACCAACCAGAAGAGGATCTGTTGGTAGTCTAGGTAGGTGTCAAACACGGGCGTATTTAGGAATTTGTCCGGGGGGGGGGGGGGGGGGGGCCTAAAATCTAAAGGTTTCCCTGGTCCAGGGAGGGGCTGAGCCCCGATCGCCTCCCCCCCCCCCGAACCTGAATACGCCACTGGTGTCAAATCAACCCAACTATGTGTAGATTTTAGGAGACCTGAGACTAAAACTTTTTATTGGTTTAGCACTTGGTTTAAACTTGATATTCATAGTGGAAATATTTGAATTTTAATTTTGGGGATTATTATACATCGTAGAAACGTTTTATATCTCTTATATGGAGCCTAGCGAATTTGTCCACAACACTGCATACTCAGTTCAACTACCTTACATAGCCGGTCTTGTCCTTTTAAGTACGGTCAAGCAATGAAATTTGCCGCATCAGTCTTTTTGGTATTTTCAATGGAATCCTATTTTTCAATTCAGAATCAAGAACTCAAGAATTTTTGAATAGATTAAATATTTTCTAGTACTGTAAAGTGGTATTCTCCTTGCTAGTAAGTTTTGATCTCCTATTTTCTAAACGTTGGAACCTAAATCAACGTAATCAACTGTCAGCCAAGGGACAATGACTTCAACTTAAATAAATCGATTTAAATCAGTTGCCGCATTTCAAGGTTACTAACTCAAGATTTAATTAACCAATTCTTAAATTTAAATGAGCCCCAATCTGGCCAATTTTTACTAATTTAATAGAAGGGATATTTTCAGAGCATTCATAAATATTTCTGGACTTTAATTCCCTCTACCCATAAGGGGGCTCCGCTAACCACAAGGTTTAATTCATGTCTATCTCATGCTAAAGAGTAAATGCTTGAACTTGTTCTGAAATATCTTTGTCCCATCCCCACTATGATTCTGGTTACAGTGGTGTATACAGTGGGGGGGGGGGGAAGGAGGTAGCACCCCCTAGACTTTAGTAGAAGAAGGGGGGGTTGTTTTCTTTGTTAGTTTTGTTTAATGAAGAGTAGAACTTGCAGTGTAATTTGACTATGTTCGTTTTTAAAGTGTTTTAAATGTGCCAAACAAATTATTCTAAATTTACAGTTAAACCCCCCCCCCTTAATTTGTCATGGATACGCCTAGATTCTGAATGATTTCCATTTCTAGATACTGTGCATCCTTGAATCCTCACAACACTGTTAAAAAAAGTAAATAAACATATATAACACTTGCTTCGTTAATTAGGGTTTATTTAGGGGTTTATATATTTTCCAATAGCACACTAATAAAGTAAAAAAAAATTATATATCACTTGTTTTGTTTATTAGGATTCATTATAATATAGGATAAATACTTTTCATACGCACTGTAATAATGTAAACATACCTAGCACTTCGTCAATGAGGGTCTATTCAAGGTTTATAAGTTATAATCACTGTAATAAAGTAAATTAACAGAACGTAAATTAGGGGTGCAAATTTACATAAGCACTGTTATAAAGTAATTGAACATATCTAGCACTACTTACCAGTAAGTAATTAGGGTTCAGTTTCCCTTATACACTGTAATAATATCATTCATATTTTCATACAAATAATAAAGTCAATGAACATAGTTAGCACTTGCTTCGTTAAGTAGGGTTACATAAACACTGTAATATATACATAGTTATTCAACTTTACTAGCATTTGCTTAGGTAACCAGGCTTACAAGTTTAATTTAACTAGCTTGGGAATCCAACTTTGCCCTGAAAAAAATATGATTTAAAGGGCAAAATAAATTAACTTTTGTGTAAAAATTATCAAAAATGATGTTAAAACTTGTCTTCTATGCCTAGTTTTTCATTATTTCCTCAGGCGGAGAGGGTATATATAATTCTTGAAATTTTTTACTTTTGTAAAATCATTTAAAAGAATTAGAAAAATTAGATAACCAATGTGGGCACTTAAATTTGAGGATAAATGCTTGATCCCTCAAATTAAAGTTACCACCGCCACTGGATTTCTAAGATAATTTAATTAATCCACAGATTTGTAATCTGCATAACATGGAGATTAATTGTTACTTAAAATTAAAATTTGTTCTTCCCCTGTTAGCATAACGTTTTCGATTAAAGAATGTTCTGGTATAAAAACAAGAAGGTGCGGTACTAAAAGATTAACAGCACCTGCACTGCTCAAATTGATTGTATTTCATGATATTCTGGAAAGTCACAATGTAATGCAGGGTTTTCCAGAAAGTATTATCCCTTCAGTGATGTTTTTTTTATAAAAATAAGAGTTCTCTGTAGACTAAATCTTATGTGCCATAATAAAACTAAATCCCATAGTTTTTATGCCGTCTTTATAACGTCCTTAAGATAACACTGTATTAAATGGTTGTCGCCCGAATGAAAAAATAATGAAATAATATAGTCCTGTTCTAGAAAACTACATTGCTGATCTAACGCTTGTATACAAAGATTTAGATTCCATGTCAGAAATCTGAAGAGAAAAATGTCATTTATCCCTGTTCTTCCACTGTAAATTCCTTGGATGGAGTGCGACCGCCCTTTGACTATGCGTCTCTTTAAACTTACATGATAATGGTTAAATATCCCAGATATTCGGAGAGACTAGACTGTTTTAATTTTCTAAAACCATGGTGGGCCAAATTACTCAATTAAACCTAATAATTAGTCCACAGAGGTACTAACTATAATTTGAAATGGTAATTGTATAAATCTGAAACCACACTTCCCGCCTTATTTTTCTTTAAGTGCATTACTGTATAAGTATGCAGGGGCGGTTTTTGCTTACTTTATCCCCCCACCCCCCGTTTTACCTTAATTTTTTTTAATAATAAAATTACATGAATAAGCAAAAAATGATCAATAAGGTGGAAGACATCGTCGTTTTTCACATTGAAAACTGTTAATTTAAATTATCACAATTTACGCCAGTCACTTAAATGAGAAGCCACAATATTTAAAATTCTATTTATTTAAAGAGATGATAATGAATTCTAAAGCATTTTTGAGGAAATTGGACATGCCACTGTATATTTTTAGTTACTGTTACTGTTACTGTTACTGTTCCTTTATTATTATTATTTAAGAAAAAACTAATAAAAGAATATTTCTAGACTCTGGGATGTCAGTTTCCTTCCAGTCTGGTTCTGCTGGATCTGCAGGAACCGTGAGCCAGGAGTCCTCCCCCCAGCAACAGTTAACCGTCAAAACTAGCGGGGTAATGTCACATCATCTAGCTGCTCCCAGACCCAGGAACCTCTCCGCTAATCTCTCAACAAACCTGTAAATCCACCAGGAGATATTTTATCCTGAGTGTCTCCGAACCTGTAAATTCACCAGGAGATATTTTATCCTGAGTGTCTCCAAACCTGTAAATCCACCAGGAGATATTTTATCCTGTGTGTCTCCGAACCTGTAAATCCACCAGGAGATATTTTATCCTGAGTGTCTCCGAACCTGTAAATCCACCAGGACATATTTTATCCTGAGTGTCTCCGAACCTGTAAATCCACCAGGAGATATTTTAAGCTGAGTGTCTCCGAACGACTGAACATTCTCCCGTCTATAAAGGAATCATATGTATTATTCCTGGAACGAGAGGTTTAAACCTTCAACAGTCAGATTTCCTAGTCTCGCAGATATAATTTTATAAAACTGTCGAAAGAGTATTTTACAGCATAATATCACGTTTTGCACGACGTTATGGCGGTTTTTAAACCGGAAATCCGCCTATTTTTATTTTTAAATCGGTTACCGCCGTTTAGCTTTTAACCCTGTTCCTACGATATTAAATTAGGTTTTTGTTGGAAAATTTCTTATTTTTTTTGTGTAACACGATTCCTCGTTGTTTGTTTTGTGCGTTTCTAGAAATTTAAATTTGAGTTAACGTTTATGCAGACTGAATCAGAGAAAGTATTATTTTATTAGGTTATAAATATTTACAAAAATTTAAAAATACATTTATGTACTAGCCTTAATCAAAATGTATTCAAGTGTCCTGTTTTTCTAGAAAAACATATTGCTTTATTCTAGAAATTTCTTATAAGTAATTCATGTATTCGATTGCCTAAAAAACTTCTTCCAAGTTTTGCACTAGACTAGTCCATATTTTTGTATTTTCTGCTCCAGTCCATTTTGTTCCTAGCCTCGACTCTTTGTCTAGTTTTTAGTGGAGTTCTGAATATATTGAGAGGGGTATAAAGTGGGTTTGATCAATATGTTATGCAGAATTTTTTACATGATTTAGGCGAAAAATTTTGTTATTATCAATGCGTGTTTTAACGCCCCCTACTTTTACAATTGGCCGAGGTTTATAAATATTACCTTTTATTTTAAGAAATACTGAACAATAGTAATTTTAAAATGATAAATATCTTCCTCCTTAAATTACATATCTTTATCAGCTTGCCAATTACTGGTAGTGGTAAATTTTCATAAACCTTATTTTCCTACTTAAAATTTGACAAATAACATTACAACTTTAATAATAATAAAAATGCGGGAATTTTTACCGCTGTTGCATAAAGATTTACGTCAAAATTTAGCAATATATTATGTTGTATTCTCTGTTTATTGTGAGATCAAATCCAAATTAAAATTTGCATTCTTGAAATTTTCCAACCTGAAATTTTGTTGTTTTTTTTATCTACCAATTTCGACGAAGTTTTGCGACCGGAAAATAAGTCAAAAAACGTAATAATTAATATGTAATAACAGATTCTATGATTTTAGTTTTTATGTGAATTATTTAGTTTAAAATATATTATTCTAGTGACCTACAATAAGTCTAGTTTATGTTAACAGAACTGGATCTTTTCAAATATCAATAAATAATTTACGTAATTTTATTTTTGCTCAAATCACACTTATTTATATTTTGAAAATCAACATGGGTGAAAATAAGGTGTATTTTCTGAAAGGATCTACATCCTCTACAGCTTGGTAAAGTAGGCAACTTATACTGGCTAATTCTTCACTGTTCACTTCTATGGGTCTGTGTACTGTTGAAGGAAATCCTGGATAGAAAGACGGTGGACAGCAAGGCTATAATACAAGGAAGGTTAATCGCAGTTGCGTATACTCTGCGTATAACATATGGAAACCAGTTCTCTCTGGGCGAAATTTGTAAACAAGAATAGATGCATCAGTTTTCGTTTAGTATCCGAGGAGGTTAAAAGCAATAAATTTTGATAATTCACATAATAGTTTCCTATGACCAGAATATTTCATTGATTTTTTTTATGTGAAAGATGGACCCCATCTCAGGCTTCGACCGCTCAGAGACAGTACACTGCAGTACAAAAGATGCGTACACCCCTGAAATAACTTTCCATGCGTTATTACCTTGGTTGATGGTTTGTGATCAAATGTGGACACAAATCCTGTGTTAATATTGACTGGGAGTTTAAGTTCAAGAAATGCTCCAGGTGTTTGCTGAGACGCTACTGCAGTAGTCCAAGATGTCAGAAGCTTGACTGGGTAATACACAAGAAAAAATACTTCTCCGTACTGCAATGGAGAATACAGATGGGAGTGGGAGTGGGATTAGAAGTAGAATATGAAAAAGAATAGGGTCATGTATTACCAGATATCTTGAGTTCCTGTATCCTGACCCTCCTTATCCGGAGAAATAAATCGGCAAATTGTTATAACATCATTTCCAAATTTTAAACATTTGATAACCCTCTTTATCCCTAAATATAATTGGCTATTAACAGGAAATATATTTTTACAATTTGTCAGAATTTTCCGTTTTTTTTAAGGGAACAGAATCACGATCAATTTGAATGCACTTGTGGGATTCATGTCTTATTCATGTCCTATTCACGTCTTATTCACGTCTTATTCACGTCTTATTCACGTCTTATTCACGTCTTATTCACGTCTTATTCACGTCTTATTCATGTCTTATTCACGTCTTATTCACGTCTTCATCACGTCTTAATGTTATGAGCAATCATATGGAAATTGTGCATTGCTAATGAGCATTATATGGGCAAAGTATATGTAGTTAAAAATATATGTAGTTAAAAGGGAAACAACAGAATGTTCCCCATTTTCTCCTCTTACCATGTTTTTCTAAGATTTTTCACAAAATCGTCTGAGGAGTCTGAGTCAAAAATATTATTACCAACATCAGAATGAAGTTTAAGGTTTTTCAGATCACTCTCCCCTATTTTATCATATTTTCCCACTTTGCTAACAATTTTTTCTCGTCTTGTTTCATTATATCATTTCTTGCCGATCAATAAAAAACTTTTGCACATATGTTTCATTTTGTAAAACTATATAAAAAAGTTAGGTGGTTAAAACATCAGAACGAAAGTTTAAAGGGACAGACCGGCTATGTATGTAAATAGCAGTATGATTACTGAGTTGTAGTGCATAGTCGATGTTCAAAATCATGAATTTGGGTGGGTACGATTTTAGAATCGTTTTTTTTTTAATTATTAAAAATAAAATTAAAAGTAAAGTAAAAGTATACAGTGAACTAATTAGATGGTTGGGAACATATTTCTCAAAAGAAATTTGTCAATAAATCAATGCTAGAATCAATTATTTTGTTTTCATTATTATATTGAATTTCTTATTTTCTATGAATTTGTTCGCAGATTTCTACAAATTCTTCAAATGTCGTCTTTTCAATAATAGTGCCAGAAAATCTTTTTGAATAATGAGAAACTAGAATAATGAGAAAATAGAAACTAAGAATTGAAATAGATTACTTATTTTTGATAATACGATTAATTTTTATTTTCTCGAGCTGTTCCTAAACAATTAGTTATTTTACTGTAGAATTTCGTTTAAAATTTTGTCGTCGTAATTTAATAATTTTTTAAAAATTCTGAAAGCGTATCCACCCAAAAGTACGATTTTGAACGTCGACTTTGTTCTCAAACTCAGGATTTACAAATCTTAAAAAGTCGAAGGAATCCTAAATAATTTTTCCACAACACTGCATACTTAGTTTCACTACCTAACATAACTGGTCTGTCCCTTTACGGCCACCTTCATTGAATACAAATAAAAAGATAAAACAAGAAATTAAAGATTCCTCTATGATATTTATTCAAAGAAGAATTTGAATTTTGTTGTTTCATAAAACTTGATGATAGTTCAAAATCCTTTAAAGAAATTTTATTCTCAGTCACTGCAAAGAACTTTTTGAATAAAACAGAAGAATTTTATATTAAAGAAAACTTTTTGATAATTTGCAGTGTACACTGTACACTGTACAGAGCCTGAATTTAAAAGAGGAACGAAAGTTCCGAATTTCCTTTTTGAAGTCTGCACATTTTTGTGGATATATACATTGAAATAAAAAGATATGTAAAACCAACCAGTCTAACAATAGTTCCTAGCAAAATATTGACACAAATCTTAAAAATTACATTATCTTAATTTTTAATCCGATACTAAAGATATAGGTTTCATTTAAATTTTACAGAGCACACTGCACATTCTCGAGTTTTCCAATATTTCTTTTTTCTTTTTCCTCTGCTCCAAATCTTCAAACAAAGGTAAACTAAAGAATTCCTTTAGATTAAACCAATTCTGTTTTAAATAAATAAATAAAATGTTTGTTCCACATGCAACGGACTGTGAATCAAAAATGCATTTTTAAATTTCAATTTAAATGAATTGAGACAAATGCACGACAGGAGATTATGCAGGATGTTTCAATAAACATGGGGATAAAAAAACGAAAATAAAATCGTATATTATTTATGAGTCGAGGCCCCTGCACGTGAAAAAAATATTCTCTGAAAAAGATTAAATGAAATCTATTTTTAATGTCACAGCAAACTTTGATTAGTTTTAAGAATATATAAATATGAAATTGTTAAAGTTAACAAAAAAGAAGATTAGAAAAACATGGATTTTATGAATTAACAGAGAATTCTAATAAAACTTGGAAATGTCATCCGAGAAGTTTTTGTAAAAAATGACAGGAAAACGTCTTTGAACTTAATCTAGGAAATTCACTTAACAAGTTTATCAAGGAAACCTGAATATCAAATCTTTAATGCTGGCCTAGAGTCTAGATCATAGATCACCTATCATAATGGGTATTTTTCAATAGTCGGCGTTCATATCGATAAAAAAGTCGATTTTTCCATTACGATTTTTTCAAATTACAAGTTTATAAGTAAACAAAGAGAAGCTGTTAATTAACAGCTTCTCTTTGTTTCCATGTTTATGTGCATCCATGTTGATTATACGCTTGGTAGAAATCAAAAATTTAAATCGAAAGTCGTCTCCATTGTATTGATATCTACGACGATGACTGTAGTACAAGTCACATTAACCTTAAGTTCCTTGATTCTATAAGTTGTATACGATAGAAATCGTGATATTTTATCGAGAAAAAATCATTTCCATCTTCCTATCTTCCTTCCTTGATAACCAGCAATTTAAACAATTTGACTAGAGCTTCAAATTTCAGAATTGTGCATATTGAGATCAATACTTGATCTCATCTTTTATCCATATCAAGATTAATTTATTCTTTAATTTTATCTTGAAAAGTGTTTAGAATTCAACCAATCAGAGAAGCGTTTGGAGAAAAGCGAACTGCCCGTCAGAAGTCGAGAAATTTTTACATTTTGTCGCGCAATCAATAGGAGAACTCGAATTGGTCGGAACAAAGTAGGGATATCCAATAATTGAGAGAAAAAGAGTGGATTAAGCATAAATCAAAAGTGTCCACAGTGGATATTCAGACTTAGCGATCCGGATTAGAGGTATCCCATTCTAGAGCTTTCATAGCTCTGATTAGATCGGGATTAGAGGTATCCGATTCTAGAGCTTTCATAACTCTGATTAGATCGGGATTAGAGGTATCCGATTCTAGAGCTCTCATAGCTCTGATTAGATCGGGATTAGAGGTATCCGATTCTTTCATAGCTCTGATTAGATTTGAATCTCAGATGTCGCGAATGATCAAATATTTAAAAAAGAATTCTTCAGAACACTGTGGTTTTTTCAACCCTTTGTTATTTCCGTTTTAAATAAATCTTGTGTACCGAAATACATCTAAGCCAGTGATTAGTGGATTTTTAAATCAAAATTGCAGACGTTTAAAACTTTGTTTTTTGCCATTCATCCATTTTTAAACATTTGAAAAAACCAACATCTTTGAATTTTTGTTAATCATGGTTCAAAGATAACGCGGAATTGTTTTCTCCTCAAAATCAAAAGTTCTGAGAAAAAATTGTGAATAAATTATTTCTCTTCTGACAATTGAATTTTATCAGATTTTTTTAAAAATCATCAAAATTGTAAATTTACTTTTTTAGTTTTGGAATCTGAAGTAATTGTTTAATTTCGCAATGTCATCTCTTTCGCACCGAGCCGGAGAAATATATGTAAGCGTCCAGAAATACGAAAAAGCCATTTTCGGTTTTTTTTCGGACAGTTTTAGAACACCAATATCAGATGTTTCTAGAACATATTTTAGATTACTTTTTTTTAATGATTTTTATGATTTTTCTATTACTATTTTCAAGCAGCTCTCGGCTTTCTAGTAAAAAGCCAATAATGAACTGTCAGTGCGAACGGGTTAACATATAGATGATTTAGCGGGAAAATTTCTCAAAATTAATGGAGGACATTTTTATCAATTCATATGCATCAGTATTGCCAAGGTTGCATATATGGTTAGATACTCTTGATGCGCTCCCATGCAGGTAAATGTCGTCTTTCTTGCAATGGACTTTCTAAATCCTCATATGACGTCACTGATACTTAACATACAATCATCACATTTAACAAATATTGATTGTGCTAAGCTAACAAATTGAAGGCTAAAAATGCAATTCTAATTCAAGTTTTCAACTTTTTAAGATCATCACACAATCATTTGTTACTGATTTTCAATAGAAAAGACGAAAACATTTTTTTTAAATTTTTAATTTCATAACAAATTTTAAGAACGTAACTGGCTTTTATGTTCCTCCTCGTCAGTAAAACCTCTGATTGGAAAGAAAGTTTTGAATATTTAATGATATTTAAATAAGATCTCATGATACCTTGGTACATTATAATCTTAGACTCTCTTCAGTCAAGTTTGGAGTTGATCCATGTACATTTAAGGAATTTAAAGTTATTTTTCATGCACATTTAAGGACTTTAAAATTATTTTTTCATGTACATTTAAGGACTTTAACATTATTTTTTCATGTACATTTAAAGACTTTAACATTATTTTTTCATGTACATTTAAGGACTTTAACATTATCTTTTCATGTACATTTAAGGACTTAACCATTATTTTTTTCATGTACATTTAAGGACTTTAACATTATTTTTTCATGTGCATTTAAGGACTTTAAAATTATTTTTCCATGTACATTTAAGGACTTTAAAGTTATTTTTCATTAAATTTACGGACTTAAAAATTATTTTTTATTACATTTAAAGACTTTAAAGTTATTTTTCATTACATTTAAGGACTTTAAAGTTATTTTTCATGTACATTTAAGGACTTTAAAGTTATTTCCATGTACATTAATGGACTTTAAAGTTATTTTTCATGTAGATTTATGGACTTTAAAGTTATTTTTCATGTAGATTTAAGGACTTTAAAGTTATTTTTCATGTACATTTACGGACTTTAAAGTAATGTACATTTAATGACTTTAAAGTTACTTTCATTACATTTAAGAACTTTAAAGTTATTTTTTCATGTACATTTAAGGACTTTAAAATTATTTTCATGTACATTTTAAGACTTTAAAGTTATTTTTCTGTAGATTTAAATACTTTAAGGTTTTTTTCATGTACATTTACGGCCTTTAAAGTTATTTTTTATGTATATTTAAGGACTTTCAAATTTATTTTTCATGTACATTTAAGGACTTTAAAATTATTTTTTTATGTATATTTAAGGACTTTATAATTATTTTTTCATGTACATTTGAGGACTTTAAAGTTATTTTTCATGTACATTTAAGGACTTTAAAGTTATTTTTTCATTACATTTGAGGACTTTAAAGTTATTTTTCATTACATTTAAGGACTTTAAAGTTATTTTTCATTACATTTAAGGACTTTAAAATTATTTTTCATGTACAAGGAATCTGAAGGTGTTTTGGGTACATTTCAGAACTTTAAAGTTTATCCACTTATAAATAAGTTTATCCTTTGCTTCGAGAATGGAGATGTGGAAGTAGGCAAAACCTATAATTTGATTTGCTTTTCTAGGTTTTTTACTGGAGCATCTACTGTACAGGACGGAAATCAAGGATGGAGTTTTTTCCAGGACGGAAATCTAGGATTAAGTTCTATCCAAGACGGAAATCAAGGACGGAGCTAGTTTTGATCCTGGTCTCCTTCCTTCTCCTTGTGCCTCAATCACACGCAACAAAGGTTTTCTAATTTTCTTGAAAGGAGACAGGGAAAATTACCAAGGGCGTATAAAGAAATAAATCTAGTGGGGGCAAATATGCGCGAAGAGCAAGCATTTTTTTTTGCCGCCCCCCCCCCCCCCCCTAGAAGCTCCTAGGGGTGGCAAAATTTGAAGTGTAGACTCAAAACATTTGGTTTCTTGGATACTTTAAAGGTACACATGTCACATACAGTCCAATTAACTTGCAAGTACTGCTTTATCTCTCCATTAAACAAAATTAGCAGAAAAAAACAGCAAACTTATTTTTTTTATGTTCTTCACTCGAAGTTTCAGATTTGAAAAGTGTGATAGCTCTGAGTTTTAGGCTCCCCCTTTACAGGCATAGGGGGGGAACTGCCTCCCTTGCACCCCCCCCCCCCTCCGTATACGCCCTTGAAAATTACCGAATTTGCTTTTCTAATTTTAAAAGGCGATTACCTAAATATCTTATTCCTTAAATAAACAATTTATCAAATGATAATTCCAACATATCTCAACCACTCAATTCTTCCCCTTGCAAAGCGGGGGAACAGTTGTTAGATGGATAGAACAATATGGAAACATGAATAGAAAAATAGAAAAGAGGAATGGAAACATGGAAAAGAAAAAAGAAAGAGCGGGTGCAAAGAGGGGAAAATTGGATAGAGATCAAGGAAAGAAAAAAGTTCTGATTTAATTGAAAAGGCGAATAGAAAAGTTAAAGACATAATTTGAGATGTTAAGTATAACATGGAAAGAGAGGAAGAGAAGAAAAGCTATGAAGAGAAAAAATTAAGAAAATATGTTATCTGGATCAAATTCATTTTGAATTTTCCTGCAGATTTTAACAAAAAATCTGTTTAAAGTATAAATTTTAACAAATTTGAATTTAAATAATATTGATCTGGGACGACCAGATACATGTAATTTTAAAACTGCAAAGCACTTTTCTTAAAAATTATCGATTTGCAAAATTCTCATTTTAACGTGAAAACTTGGGACCTTCGGTTTACTGTATGTGATAGATTGATTCAAATGTTCAGCACTTTATTTCCGGGAGTTTTTTGAAATTGAACTATTTTCACTTTTTCTACCTTTCTGTTTTCCCGTGATAGAACCTATTTTAAACCTCTTGTTTCTGTTTTCCCGTGATAGAACCTATTTTAAACCTATTGTTTCTGTTTTCACGTGATAGAACCTATTTTAAACCTCTTCTTTCTGTTTTCCCGTGATAGAACCTATTTTAAACCTCTTCTTTCTGTTTTCCCGTGATAGAACCTATTTTAAACCTCTTTGTTGCTGTTTTCCCGTGAAAGAACCTTTTTTAAACCTCTTGTTGATGTTTTCCCGTGATAGAACCTATCTTAAATCCCTTGTTTCTGTTTTCCCGTGACAGAACCTATTTTAAACCTCTTGTTGCTGTTTATATTCTGAAATGTTTATATATTTGAAAATTTACATTTCTACAAGACGTGCTGAGATATTAGATTAAACTCACACAACACAACATTGGCTCGTATTTAATACAAACATGGAAATAAAATAATAAAATATAATATATACAGATTTGACAACAAGCAAAATATTACTGTCATCTTTTCCCGGATTTTATCTTTCTTCTACATCACAATCGACGGGCTTGTATAGATACATGAAAACATCAATTTTTCTGAATTGACTTCCCAAGGTTTTAAATTTATGTCGTCTTACATTTGAGAATTATATAGATTAAAAGGTCTGTAAGCGTAATTTCAAGTGACCCTCCAAGCAAAGACGGCTATGCCCCATTTACAACGGTACTTTAGTCATTTGTCTCGTTAACTTTTTGTAAAAAAGTTTATTTTTGCAAGTCTTGGAATTCTAAAAGTAAGCAAAGAACGACTACTAATAAAATCCGGGAAATCTTTTTTTATTAAATCTGTCCTGTGTATTTATATTTCTTACACCCTTATTATTTATATCCGGCCAGCCCATATCCAGATTCCAGAGTAAAAGTCAATTGTAAAAACTATAACCAACATGACGAGGACAACAATTCCCAATTCTACATTCTACATTTGACATAAGCTGAAATCTGGTAATTGTTTCAAAATAGGGATATGTTCGAAAAATTAAATCAAGAATCATTAAAAACTAATTCTCGCACCTTATTATAAGTTTAAAATTGGTATTTAATTGTTTCAATATATAGTGTTAGCCATCTTTTATAAATATATTGTGAATTTTGTTCTACTCGACTTGAAATTAAAGATATATACTCTTGAAAGAGATAACTTTACAGATTTAGCCCATTTCTAACACTCAGTGTAAGAAATGGGCAAAGTGTTAGTTTTGGAACTAATATCCTCTGGAATACTGATGCCTTCCAAACATCCGAAAATGTGAACAGTTTATCTGTTTAAATAAAGGTGTTTTTGTTTAGGGCAAGGTTGTTTATTAAGGTGAGATAGGCTGGATGCGCTCCAATATACGGGAAATGTCGTCTTTATAACAATAGACATTCAAAATCCTCATATGTCAGCTGTAAAAGGCGGAGAAAATCTCACCAGCAACGTTGTAACTTCATCTCAGTCACTAGTTACGTCCATAGATAAATAAATAAACATAGATAGGTTATGTACGCAAAATCACCAAGAATTGTACAGTCCGCGAACTCATACTTCTAGGGGTCAAAGTATACTTCAATGATAAGCGGGGTGGTTTGGTGTTTTTATGGATTTCATAATAGAGTGTAAAATAACTCCGGGAATGGAACTATTTGAACAACAATATTTCATTGAGCAATACATCATATTGACGAGAAATGAAGAAGGACATGAGAAGGACTAAACTAACTTAAATTTCTCTCTACAGAACTCATGTACACCACAAGTACGCAATGACATAAGAACAGCCAATGTTCACAACCGACCTAGTTAATCTATATAATAGGAATATCTTTAAAACATCTCTGTACATTTATATCTTTCAAGATGAAAAATTTCGTCTTATGCGCAATCTATCTTTATCTATGGTTACGTCATATGAGGATTTTGAGTGTCCATTTCTATGAAGACGACATTAGAGCGCAACCAGAATAACAACCTTGGTTTAGGGGCATGGGATTGGAGATGTACTGAACAACATTGTACAATTCTACAATACTGATGTGCATTTTATATCAGATTTCAGGAAATTAAATTTTAAATACATTTTAATCTGATTTCAAGGGAATATTACAGATTTTCAAATGCGGGTCTCGGTCCTTTACTACTCCCCCCCCACCCCCACGAAAAGATGATAATGCCCGATTTACAACGATACCCTTAAAAGTGTTGTCTAATCAAGTTTAAATTAGAAATTATATTTAACTGTTATTTTTTCATTTGTGATTTTTCTGCAAAAGTGGATTGCGTACAAGAAAAAATGGAGAAATTATGAGAACTGAACACTTTTCGAGTCAATTTTTTTACAGTTTAAGGTTACAGGGTACCGTTGTAAATCGGTCATGTCATCTGTGCATGGAGGGTCACTTAAAAGTACTCTTACATTTCCTTCAATTACTTTTCAAGCTTTTATATTCAGATTTTAAGAGAAATTTTATTTAATCTGATTCTAAGTGACATGGCATAATAATTTAAAATTCGTCAAGGGACCCTTTAACTTTAGGCCCCGCTCCCCATTCAGGAAATCTGTATTGGTCAAGGGACTGTTAACGTAATTTCAAGCGACTATCTCTTTCAAGAGTCACATTCTTGTCTCTTATCGTTTTCATCTTTTATTTGTCCATTTTTAGAGAGTAAAACAAAGAGATTACCATCGTGTTTTTTTGTCAAAAAAGGGTATCGTTGTGCAGAATCGGGCATGTCAGTCTTTAAATGTATGGACAATTGAAATAAAGTTTACAGTCCCTTCAAGATGTTTTTATGTTGGATTTCAATAGAATAATAAAATATTTTTATTAGTCCCGCGATACACAAATTCCATTTCACAATAAAATAAGTATTTTGTTATTAATTAGTGATGGAGACATGTACGATGTGGCTCCGAAAATATCAGAAGCCGGAAAACCAATTTTCATGTACAATATTGACGATCTCGTAGGTAAGTTATTAGCGTACATGACATTGAAAAAGAATATTTTGTGTTTCGAAAACGTTTCACAACTTATAAGGTTTCCAAAATACACATTTTGTATCTAAAAAATTACAAAAAATATTCATTTTCTCAGATTTTGGGTTTTTGAATAAAATTAAAATCTGAAAGAAAAAACAACAAAAATGGCAGACCACAATGATATGGGTATTATATGGTTTCTGTATCAAGAAATTATGTCATCTCTCTCTTATAAGAGATGGGATTTTAAAAGTTTAAACCCGAGTAAACCCAAAGATAGAACCCAAGTCAGTATTTGTTCTGATTCCACCAATGAGAGACTGTTTAGCAAGCTTTCTCTCTGTAGCAGACAGAATGCCGTTAGATCAGCTGTGACAAGGAGATGTAAATTTCGAAAATTCAAACTTTACGTAAATACATTAATTTCATTGTATGTTTATTTTATATAATTAACAAAATTTGACACCACAAATAATTCCAGAGATTTTAAATGTACAAATATAAAATTTTTTATGAAATTTACGATCGTTAGCTGCTGGAAGGCTCGAGCCTTAAAGAGAGAAAAACCCAAGATGGTTGGTTTTTACTAAACTCAAGGCAATCCAAAACCTGGGTCTTGACTTGAGCTTTACTTGGGTCTAAGCAGACGCAAAGACAAGGTTTTACTCGGGTTTAAGCTTTTAAAATCTCAGTTATCCATGCTTAACATTCAAAGGCTTTTGGTTTTCAGTTTATCGAAAAATCTGCTTGATTAAAAATGTAATTCTTTCCAAGATTATGTTTACTCATACAGAAAATATAAACTGAAAGTAACTGTAGGCGTTATTTCATGTATTTTGTATTTTTTGAGTGATAACTTTGTTTGAAAGCTTTTTTTTGTATTATAATAAATATCAATTTTTACTATCCAGAAGTCACAGAAAATAAATATTTTCATGTGTTATGTGTTTTCTTTTGTACTTTCCTTAGAATTAAGTATTTAAAACAAAAATCTGAGGTTTCCTTAATTAATGAAAATATATAAGATATATATGTATATAATGGTTTTGAAGATAATCTTATATCTTGGGGTCTAAGCCCCTGGGTCCTCACTTTATCTTTTCATCTTCAAAGTAGGACACCTCTGGAATTTTACTTTCAGGAGAAACTTTTCAAAAGAGATGGATATTAAAAATGTTTACGTTTTCATTTTCAAGTTTTGCACGAGAAAGATTTACTTTTTATACACAGGGATAACCAGAAAACTCTGAAATAGGAAGACGACTTTTAGAATCAAGTTTTAACTTTAAATGTCCAATGAGCATGAGACCCAGAAATTGTGCAGTGTAAACAGACCCATTTCACTCAATTAGTAATTTTATAATTGTCTAGTAAAACTATTTGCTTTGAAACAACATCAAATAGACTTATAAATAGCTTTTATGTCGTCTTCCTATTCCATTGTTTTCTGGTTATTACTGTAGAATAAAATGGTACAAAAACAGTTTATCTTTTAAACGATAAGTATGTTGTTAAATTGATAAAAGTTTAAAACAGAAAACCACTTGTCCGGCCCTTTGAAAATGAAAGTTATTTTCAACAAAATATATAGACTCATTTTTTTCTAAACATCGAGTATAGGTTTGATCGAAACATCGAGTAGGTTTTATCGAAACATCAAGTAGCTTGATCGAAATATTAAGTAGTTAATCAAAATATCAAGTGTTTTAGTTGAAAAATCAAGTGGTTTTGATCGAAATATTGAGAATTTTTCAGCTAAAATAGCTTTTCATCAAATATCTAGTAGTTCTCTTCAACATATCTAGTAGTTTTCATCAACATATCGAGTAGTTTTCATCAACATATCGAGTATTTTATATCAACATATCGAGTAGTTTTAATCAACATATCGAGTAGTTTTCATCCACATATCGAGTAGTTTTAATCAAACAGTTTTCATTAAACTTTCGGACATATTTCGTCGAAGTAAAAAGCTATTATCGAGATATCGAGCTTAGATTTCACAGAAATTTCGAGCAGATTTAGTATATTTCTGCAGCTTTAAACCGGACTCATTTCTGATCCCCAAGATGATAAGATCTTCTTCTCCCTATTTTCAGCACGCCATCTCGCGCTCCCACTGGAGAAATGCCCTGTTTTTGGTGGGGCACATGGTGACACAGGACACGGAGACGATAATGGAGACGACCATGGAGATCATAATGAAGATGACCATGGAGATGATCATGGAGATGACCATGGAGATGATTACGGAGATGAGCATAACAACCATGAAGATGATGGACACTACAAGGACAAAATTAACATTTGAAATCTTGATTCTTTAAATTTTGTAAACACGTAAAACGCAAATAAGTCGGCTTTTTTTATCTAAATGCGTATCTTTTGCAGGCCGAGGGACTTCAGGTAGGAATAGATCTAAATGAAAGGGTTCGAGAACTCATGACTTTAACTTCTTTGGCCGAATGAAATTTTATATTTAAGAGTTTAATTCCTACGATTTTTAATACAGGGTGTCCTAAAAAACATGGGAATTCATGGTGACGAATTCGATATCGTCTTTGTTATGAATTAGCATTGTAATACCTAATTTCAAAAGCTATAATATTATAATGTCTGCTAGAGTTTATTTTATGAAAAGGGTAAAAGACTGTAAAGATGTGTCTATAATGTCTCCGCAAGATGAACAGTGAAGACGGACAAGTTTACTCTTTTTATATACTGTAATTTTGCAGTGAAACCTTAAACAAACAAAATGTAAACATAGCAGACGAAACTCTTACAGATTACGCTTTCTCAGTAGGTATCACTATTTTAAATCAAAGAAATATTTAAAAAAGACGATATCAAATTCGTCACTGAATTTCCATGTTTATTGGGACACCTTGTACATTGCATTGAGTCAAAACTTTACACAGAAAATCGTTACTTTAACTTATTTGGATTAATATGAATCAGTTTAATCCATTTAAAAGTTTCCTGCTCCCGGCAACATATATGTTACATTTTGGAAGTTTAGGAGAAGAATATGGCTGAGAATTTAACAACTATAGCATATATGTTCCCTAACAGTTTCGTAGAACCAAGTAAGTATTAAAAAAATGTGTGATTTCAATTGTTTTTGGATTCAACACGTTTTTATTTGAATCGTTCAAAAATCTAACCAAATAGCATAATTTTCTATTTAAATAATCCTTTTTAAAATTATAAAAGGCCAATTCAAGAATTTGTGTACAGGATATATTGATTCTTTCTATTTTCTGTGTAATATAACCTTATGTTATACAAATGTTCAATTAAAGTTTAGCAAAATTATTCGTTCAGAAAAAATCATTCGTGCGTTACTTTATTTGTAATAATCTATCGGTTTTTTCTTTCAAAAGTTTGTTTTAAAAAATCGTTTGTTCAGCAAAAAAACGGTAGTTTCTTCAAAATCTTTTGGAAAATTCTTTCGTTCAATAAAAAAACGATCGTTTATTCATTTCTCTAAACGTTATATTCCTAGAGAACGATTTTTGGACCCCCCCAGGCCCCCCCCCCCCCTCCTATCAATTTTGTACATGGATCTTGGGGAGGTCCAAAAATCGTTCACTAGGACAGACCCTTCTAAACTATCAAAGTCGTTCGTTGATAGTTAGTTTTTTTCTGAACGACGTTTTTTTTTTCACGAAAAATTTCGTTCATTCTAAAAAATGATTCCCTATAGTTACATTACTATTACGTTATTATTAATGTAACATTACTTGGTTACTATGTCTACATTTGGAAAGTCTACATGAAGAAAGCTTACATGGATGTTTATCAATGTGGAAAAATGAAAAGAAATATTTACTCCTTATTTTTTGCATTAAAAACGGATCCCTAGGTGTTCAGTATTCTGAAAAACTACGAGAAGATGAGGATATACCAAAGGAATTTCAAATAATATAATCCTTAACAGATGTATAGACAGGGAGCTGGGAGGGGGGGGGGGCTATGGGGGCTAAGTCCCCATATTAAAATCAAAATCAACCAAATAAAGAAAGATATTTCCTTAATTGATGAGACGATGATTTAAAGGGTATCAATGTGAAGTAAGTTTGTAAGTTTGAAAAGAAAAGATATCTTGCAATTTTGTCAACAGTCCCTTTCAAATTTGGTATCAAAAGATAAAATGCTTAATGATTGGACCTACTGCTCGTTATTTGAAACTGTTCTAGAGTGTTCTCTACCGTCGTCCCTCTCTGCTGTCCAGAGGAGTTTATCATAAAACTATAGTGGTCTGGGTTCAAGATAATCAGAGGGTAATAATTATTTACAACTATGCTTTACAGGGAAGCTAAGGGAATTTTACTTTACAAAGGGTTCCCAAGACCAATTTTGCCAACAAAACATCCAAAGCGTTGATTAAGTAAAATGTTTCATTTCCAGAAAAAGTAGCTGTACACAATTTTATTGTCTTTCGAGATAAAAATGCACAAATATTTTCACAAATATTTTCCCATGGGACGTTAAGTAACTTAACGTCCCTCTGTTAAAGGAATCCTGGGTCGGTAATGCATTGGCCAAAAGGCGGTAAGAATATAATAAAAGACTATTTGCAATTAATACCTCTTTTGTAATTTCATAACTACCGGGATATGAATGATTTCGTTCAGAATTAGACAAGCTCATGGTTTATTTTATAAATTAGAATCTAAATTCTCTGTTAATTTTGAAAACACAAGACAAGCAGACCACATTTTGGAACAGCCAGGACTAGGGCTATTTTGTGATTATTGTTTCATAAAAAAATATTGCTAGATTTAGGTTGCCAAGTGAATGCCGCAAACTATTTCTAAGGTCAAAGACGACTTTCAAGTCTTAAATCAATTAATAAATTATTCCAGCCTTTTTAGAACAGCACTGTGTTTTTGAAAAAGAAAGAATGAAAACTACAATTATTTCGCTTTAAATTGATTATCATCGAATTTTTTTTGTATTTTATTTGAATTTAAATTTTTAACGCCAAAAGACGCACGGAATACGTTAAAAAGCAAGTTCTTGTGTTAGCCATTTATAATTCTTAAAAAAGTTATTGAATTTTTAAAAATAGTTTGTAGTGCGACATGTGCCGAAAAATCACGATTTAGAGCTTTACACGATTCAATATGATGACATATTTTATATGAAAATACTATACTAGCCTTAGAGGGCGCTTCGCGCCCATCTTCTTAATTAATTGTGAACATGTTCTCTTTGTGTACATCGTAAAACAAAACAAAAATAATTCGCGGATTTTCACAAAAAATTTCGTGGATTTTCAAAATTTTCAAAAATTTAATGAAGATCGAATTTTGATGGAGACAAACATTTGAAATTTTGATCATTCATAAACCTTCCCTGGGGTCCCTAGATGTCCCACAAAAAATTTGGGCCCGATCGGTTCAGTCGTTTTGACGTTTATTGGATACAAACAGACAGACAAACAAACAAACAAACAGACAGACAAGCCAAATTTATATATAGATGATGGATGTATTATGTTCTAGGTACTAAATCTTTTCCGAAACACAGCCTTGTTTTGTAATCAGAAGATCGACGTAGGAATCTATAACATGGATGACAGGTTTAAATTAACAACATGAATGACAGGTTTAAATTAACAATATAAATGACAGGTTTAAATTAACAATATAAATGACAGGTTTAAATTAACAACATGAATGACAGGTTTAAATTAACAACATGGATGACAGGTTTAAATCAACAACTTGGATTTGTAACCTGAAACATCATGTTGCAAGATTATACTAATTAGAATATTGGAGTTTCTTCGCAATTATGTCAGATATTTTGGCACCTTTTTTTGGAGTACCTGAAATGTTACTTAATATTCAAAAAGGAACTATAGTTCTTGCTACAAACTAAAGGTCATGATTCTGCATAAAGAGAACTGAGTTTTTGACAAAAACTCTAGTTTTTTTAATCCCTGCATCTTTGCAACCTGATATGTCTCTGATATTTCAAACTTAGAGTATGTTAGAATTCTTAGTTTTTAATATCAAAGGTCTTCGACATCGGGTTACTAAGATGTAGGAATTTGTGCCAAAAACTCGGTTTCTCTTTCCTCTATTTTTGCAGAATCATGACGTAACAATGTTTATTTTAGGTTTATATTTATCGTTTCTTCTGATACTGTTCGGGATCAAATACTGCTAGATCCATATATTACTAAACATTCTAGTGTTGCTGTCATCAGACCACTTACAGGTACTTTACAACTCTATTAAATTTAAAGGGATTGGTATTGTAGTTTCAAGTGACCCTCTATTTAGAGAGACTTGTTCGGTTCACAACAGTACTCTTGAAAGCTTTATCTGTTCAAGGATGAATAACATACACATGTTTTTGATTGAATGAATGAATGAATATTTTCGTTTGCGGATTCGCTGTAAAAAAGACTTGCGCATATCTTTTTCAGAAACAGTGGAAAAATTATAAGAATTAAACATATCTTTTTTATCAGATTAAGGATTTATGAGTGAAGTAGTGAATTGGGCAGATAATACCCATCTGTAAATGGAGGGTCAATAAAATGGAGGGTCAATAAAATGGAGGGTCATTTAAATGGAGGGTCAATTAAATGGAGGGTCAATTAAATTGAGGGTCAATTAAATGGAGGGTCGATTAAATGGAGGGTCCATTAAATGAGGGTCAATTAAATGGAGGGTCATATTGATGTGACTTTGCGACCTCCTAACTCGTCTATTCGGAATTATTGATGTGACTTTGCGACCTCCTGACTCGTCTATTCGGAATTATTGATGTGACTTTGCGACCTCCTGACTCGTCTATTGTTCATTTTATATATAAGAGTGAGAAAACCAATGAGTTACATAAATTCCTAAAATTCGGGACAAATAAAGTCCTGAGGAAAAAAGGTTCTCTAAATGAAAAGGTCTTTGGAAAAAAGTCTTGCAAGTTTGAGTCTTTTTTTTCGAAGGTCCAGTATCTCATATCAGAGACGTTTTTTTGAGACTTGGAACTTAAATTAGCAATTGTTCCTAATTTTCTTTTTCGATAAACGTCTTTTTCATGAGCTTCCTCTATAGATGTACTTAGATCAAGAGGACCCAAACTTGTAAATTTAATCAATCAGTTAAATAGATTTGTATTTAAATTGTATTTGAATAATCAAATACAATCTGGAAAATGAAATTGCAATAATTTTGTATTAATCATTCATCTGTACTTGTTGACTGGTTTACTACAAACAATGAATTAAAATAGTAAATTCTAAACTACAATAATAGCTTAGCTTCATCTAATTCAAAAGTTGCCGAATCTTGTAAAATCCTGAAGAAATTTATTGGTACTGTACGAGAAACCATTAAAGATATATCTGTTGGTCGAGTAAAAAGTATTGATTAGGTCTAGAGGATAAGTTTATTGTTTTTACTTACAACTTCTTCCACGCAGCAAACAATAAACCACAAATACTCACCAGGAAGGATGCTCAACAATAGATCTGGCGGGTATATGTCTGATTCACAATGGTACCCTTTCAAACTTTATCTAGCTGGAAAAGTGTTTGATTCTGACAATTTTCTCCTTTTTTTCTGAAGCAAAAATGCGGAAGTCATTTTCAAAATGAAGATAATGTCGAAATCCCATGCATTCTTGATCAAAGAAAGGTTTTGAGGGTACCATATTGCATCGGAAATGCCATCCTAAAACTAGATGGTCCCTTAAATTCCCTTTAAAGTTAATAATCGAATTTCTAATTTTTTAATATTTATTTTTAACATTTAACAACCTGTTGTAGACCTTTGATATTTTAAATTTATGAATTCGAATTTGCATCTTAAACCTTAAAGCTTTGTATGATGAAGTATGAACTAGATATCCATATTTTTTCTTGGGTTGTAAATATATAGGAATTAGAAAATTAGAGTTTGTGACAAAGACTCAATTCCTTTTGATTTAAAAAATTAAAGGAACTCAGTTTTGTAATTTTCGAATCACTATATCTTTGCAATATGAAGGTGTATAACTTTGATATTTCGTACATAGACTATTTGATTTAACAGAATTCGTAGCTTTAAAAATCAAAGGTCTCCGACATCGGGTTGGAAAAATATAGAGATTAATCAAAGTTTGTAGCGAAGATTTAAAATGAATTGATGAATCAAACATTTGGTTGAAGATTAAGCATCCCTAGGTTTCTGTGGTCCCCTGTAAATATGTTTAAAAATAAACAACAAATATTTACCCCTGTAAACACATTCGATGGTCACAAGTTTAAGGTAAGTCCATTTTCAAGTAGATTTTAACGAATAAAAAAAGGAGATCACATTTTAGAAATTTCTCATCTTTTTGAGTTTTTGGGTTTTCCACTTTACAACCTGATTGTGTAAATCTTTGATATTTTAAACTTTCATCTAACATAATTCATAGTTTGAAATATCTAAGTTCTATGACATAGGGCCGGTTGCAAAGATATAGGGATTAATGAATCAGAGTTTGTGGCAATGACTCCATTCAATTCGTAAGAAGTTAAAATCAATGTAAAAACGAGCTCTTCTAGGTCGGTACACTGCCCTGGTCCCATCATATGCTAGGGGATCAAGTTGAAGCCCCTGAAGGGACACCAGCAACATATACTAACTACTGGGGGTAGGAATTTATATAGTGATAATAATAATAATAATGATAATAATAATAAATTTAACAAATCTTTTTCGATCAATTTTGAGTGAATGATGAAATTTAAAAAAAGCTTTTTTTTCTAATAAGAGCCTTAGCCCTCCCGCGTAACTCACAACTTTCTTGCGTAAATTTACTCTTGAAAGACAAAATTGCGTAATTTAAGATTTGGTTTCTGCGTCTGTTTCCGAGTTTGTTTAAACTATTAACCATCCAACTTTGTTATTGTATGAAGTAGGTTCAGTTTACAAATATCAGGCAGAAGATAAATGTTTAAAGTTTGGACAATCCTGAAGAAAACTTGACAAATATATAAATATCAAGTATCCCCTCTAATCCTCCCCCCCCCTGTTTAGGGAACAGTTTTTATGGATAATTTTAAACATAAGGGTGTGAGTAAAAACATAAGTGAGTAACCATTGCAATTTTTATTGAGTTGATTTTGATACAAATAATTTGTTATTGAGTAAAGTATAGAACACAAGCTTCTTAACTTTGAGTAACCTAGACATCAAATGTTGCTTTTCATCAACTTTTTAGTAAAAGTTGAAAATTACATGTTTTAAAACTTGAAAAAAAATACGGCTACAATTAAAACTGTAAAAATGATATGAATTGTGCAAGTTACTATTTGATTTCTTGTGAAATGTACATTAAAACTAGTTTGGGTACATCATGAAGCTTTTTAAACCACGTTGAAGTTTCTTCAAACATTCAACTAAAAAAGTCTCAATGGGTAGTAAAGTTATCCCTAAGATTTGAATAGAAATGCTAAACTAAAAATTAAGGAATTTAGATTTTTATTTTTAAAGACCATTCCCATTAATTGAGTCCACAATATATATGTTTATATCTATTTGAATAAATATAATAAATATATTTACACATTCAGAGGCCAAATTTAAAGAATTTGAGCTGCAGTTTAAATTTAAGCCACGGCTTAATTAAGGTTGGTTTCACTAAAAATTGTATCAAATGTTTCAAGATTTAAGTCGGCGCTCAATTTAAACCGGATTTTGGCGGATTTAAGCCGCGACTTAAATTGTTTAAGTTCGGCCTCTGATAATTTCAGGTATGAATTTGATACCCTCAAGTTTTTATCCAAGCATTTAGATTTCACATACGAGATCTTTAATCCTCAGGTAAACAAGGGAGGGAAGGCAATCCACATCAGTTCTGCACCCAAGTCACATTCTTCTCACTTTTTCATCCAACCCACCTATAAATGCTTATCCTTGTAAACTGCCAAGGTTTTAGGATTGTGACTCTTTTAAAAAAGCTGGTCTAATTAATCTTATTTAAGAAGAAATGAAATAATGAATCTATATATATTATACTTTGCTTGTATGTCTATCTGTTTGTATTTTTGGGTTGTTTGTATCCAATAAACAGGTCCATATCCAGCTCAAATATACAAGAGTTCACCTCAGTCTAAAAGTTGCATAATCCGAGTAATGTTGTACTGTCCAGCTCAAATACAAGAGTTCACCTCGATAAAGTTGCATAACCTGAGTAATATTGTACTGTCCAGCTCAAATACAAGAGTTCACCTCAGTCTTAAAGTTGCATAATCCGAGTAATATCGTACTGTTCAGCTCAGATTCGGTAAAACAAAACAAAAAACAAAAATAACGAATTTTAGCATAGACAAGCCTTTAATAAAGGGGACTCGGATGACAAAATAAGGAGAATGTTACTGGCCGGGTTACGGAAGTCTAGTATATTTGGACACTATCTATAAATTAATTCTATTTCTACCAAGGAGTATGCAGGAGCCCTCCCTACCATATGATTATATATGCTTTGCAGACGGGTACTCCATTTATATAAGAAATATTTGTCTGATGTACAATTACCGCGTATACAAAATCCTATTCTAAATATTTCATATGCAAATGTAGTACCGTCTGCAAAGCATGCATAATCATATGGTAGGGCGGGCCGCGTCAGTTGTATCTCCCTTCTATTCCATACTCCTTGATTTTTACACTCTTTACAGATATAGGGACTGCAAAAGTAATTTTATTAACAACGGTTTCCTATGAGTTTAAACCTTTTTCTGAGCAACAGTAAGTAAGGTATCGCCGTTATTTTATCTGCAACTTTTATAACTGCAATTGGAAACAACAAATTTTAAGATGGGAAAAGAGAATATCTGCATCATTGAAACGGTTAACAGAGCCCCGTTGAGGAAAGTTCCGTTAACGAAAAGAATGTTTTCGAAAATTAACCGAAGAGTCCGTTAACAAACGGCAAAAGCCGTTAATTTTTAAATCGTTAACTAAACGGATTAGCCGTTTTTGAAAAAAATTAAGGTTAGAAACGCTAACTAAAAAGCTGAAAACGGTAAATTTCTTTATTTTCTCACTAAAATTGCATGACATTTTTTTTAATTAAAAATTTAACGCCGTTAATGCTGTAATATACCGTTAACGGTTGTGCCTTTAACGATTTTTTTAACCTTTACCGAAATTTTTCGTTAACGCCGTTAGAAAAATTGAGATCGTTAACTAACGGTAATTTAAAAAAAACGGAAAATGTCGTCAACGGAACGAAAGTTCCGTTTTGACCTTTAAATTAAGGGCTAATTAAAATTTTGATTTTTTTACGGTTGGAACTAAGCGTTAACGAAACGGGTAGACTAATTTTTGGAACTTGCCCAGCCCTAGTGGATCAAATACAATGAAGGACCACTGGAAATAAGGTCTACAGTCCCTTTAACTGTATTTGTTCAGGATGGAAAATGGGGCCATATTGAGGCTGATGGGAAATATTCTGGTATGATTGGGAAGGTGGCTCTCAAGGATTATGATTTTATTATCTCCGATATATTTATAACCTATATCAGGGTTCAGATACTTGATGGAACAGTGGCCTTTGACAAGGTAAACACCACAGAAAACTCAGGTTCATTTCAAGTATAGGGTCGTCTTTTAAGAGGCTGCAGTAAGTTGCACTGACTGTAGACAGCAAAACGGGACGGGACACCTTATTAACGATACACATTCTCACAGAAAACGGGACGGGACACCTTATTAACGATACACATTCTCACAGAAAACGGGACAGGACACCTTATTAACGATACACATTCTCACAGAAAACACATTGATGTCATTAAATAGGGATACTGTATTTAAACTTGATATACGGTCTTGTATGTCCTAAATTAGTCTGCAAGTATACTGCACAGTTAGCTCTGGGAGCACGAGGGTCGGCCCGGCACTTTTTAAAACTGAATCTTAAAACTGTGAAATGAATGCTACTCTTTGTCCTATCACAGATTTCTAGATGAAAATCGCCAATTTTTTAAACATTTATACCAATCACCAATTACTAAATTTTTCTAGGTTTAAGTGTTTAATTTTTATGATTCCTGTAGATTTTCCTGCAGTGCAGTGCAGTTTATAGAAAAACCGCAATTGAAAAAAATTAATTTTCAAAATAATAAACATTGATATCTAATTTAATCTTCATCAGATAAAACTTTTATTCCTCGTTTTATGACTATATTGTATTTGTTTTAGGACTATATGGTATTTGTTTTAGGACTATATGGTATTTGTACGTTTTAGGACTATTTGGTATTTGTTTTAGGACTATATAATATTTGTTTTAGGGCTATATGGTATTTGTTTTAGGACTATATGGTCTTTGTTTTAGGACTATATGGTATTTGTTTTAAGGACTATATGGTCTTTGTTTTAGGACTATATGGCATTTGTTTTAGGACTATATGGTATTTGTTTTAGGACTATATGGTATTTGTTTTAGGACTATATGGTATTTGTTTTAGGACTATATGGTATTTGTTTTAGGACTATATGGTCTTTGTTTTAGGACTATATGTTATTTGTTTTAGGACTATATAGTATTTGTTTTAGGACTATAAAGTATTTGTTTTAGGACTATATGGTATTTGTAGCTCCAAATCCACAGAAAGAACCGAAATATCTGGCGATTATTAAACCTTTGGATCCGTTTGTGTGGTTACTCCTTGTATGTTCCTGGGGTGCAACTACTATAGTATTCGTCATCATTGCTAGAATAGAGGAGAAGGTATAATATACTCCCTTTATAGAATTCTTAGCTGATTTTAAATCTTAATTTAGATTCTTCAAGATTTCATTCTCATCTGAAGTTGGAACATTTTTTATGTTAAATGAATTATGTCTGAACAAGCATTGATCTCCCTCTTATACAGATTTACAGATTACTTAAACATAGAACTAGTACAAACATAGAACTAGTACATACATAGAACTAGTACAAACATAGAACTAGTACAAACATAGAACTAGTACAAACATAGAACTAGTACAAACATAGAACTAGTACAAACATAGAACTAGTACAAACATAGAACTAGTACAAACATAGAACTAATACATTTATAGAACTAGTACAAACATAGAACTAGTACAAACATAGAACTAGTACAAACATAGAACTAGTACAAACATAGGACTAGTACAAACATAGGACTAGTACAAACATAGAACTAGTACAGACATAGAACTAGTACAAACATATAACTAGTAGTATAAACATAGAACTAGTACAAACGTTGGACTAAGGAAAAAGATTTATTTAGAATTTAAAGATTTTTTATTAAAAAGTTATTTTCTTTTATCCAATGTTCTAATTAAAATCTACCCAAAGGAACTGAGTTCTTGCCACTAACTCAATTATTGTCATCCCTATATCTTTTCAACCTGATGATATTAACCTTTGATATTTACAAACATTAACTTGTTTGATCTTTTAGATTTCATAGGTTAAAATATAAAAATATATGCATGAAATCATCAGTTTGTAATCAAAAAACATAACTCCTTTTTGGTTTGCTGTTTATACAGTGCTACTGTCATAAGATTCAGGTATCTTTGATTTGTATCACAACAAGTGAGTGATTTTTAAATTTATTTCTTATAACAATGGTATTTAACCAAACTTAACCAAAGTCCGACGTTTCTCTTATAAATGTACCCGTCCGACGTTTGTACTGGTCCGACGTTTGTACTAGCCTTACGTTTGTCCCAGTTCCACGTTTGTACTGGTCCGACGTTTGTACTGTCCGACATGTGTGGGTCCGATGTTTGTACTTTTACCGATAAAAAATTCTGATCTTTAAAGGGAGTGACCGGCTATGTAAGGTAGTTGAACTGAGTATGCAGTGTTGTGGAAAACTTCTTTCGGATTCATTTGAGACATATTAAACTTTTTAAAGATCTGTAAATCCAGAATTTGAGCGCAAATTCGACGTTCAAAACTTCTACTTTGGGGGTGGATACGTTTTCAGAATTAGTTTTTTTCTAAATTATCAAATAACGACAACGCAAAATAAAGTAAAAATTATACAGTAATCTAATTAGATGGCTAGAAATATATTTGTCAATAAATCAATGCTAAAATCGATTATTTCGTTTTCATTATTATATTGAATTTCTTATTTTCTTTGAATTTATTCGCAGATTTCTTTAAATTCTTCAAATGTCGTCTTTTCAATAATAGTTCTAGAAAATCTGCAAAAATCTTTGTCATAATGAGAAACCAGAATAATGAGAAAATAGAAACTAATAATTGAACAAGATTACTTAATTTCGATGATAAGATTAATTTTTATTTTCTCAACATGTTCCTATACATGACGTCTGTAGTTTTTTGTAGAACTTTTTTACATTTTATGTCGTCGTTATTTAATAACTTTAAAAAACTAATTCTGAAACCGTATCCACCCCAAAAGTAGGATCGAGTTTTGAACGTCGAATTTGCACTCAAACTCAGGATCTACAGATCTTTAAAAAGTTTAATATGTCTCAAATGAATCCGAAAGAAATTTTCCACAACACTGCATACTCAGTTCAAATACCTTACATAGCCGGTCACTCCCTTTAACCAAATTTTTTTATACTGCAATTATTAAATTTTGATTGTACAAGAATGACAGATCATAATTTAGAAATCTCAAGACACAGACTTTTTGTTTTGCTTGATTACTATTATATCAGTTTTCAGTAAAAAATACCGCGTGGGTAAAGTCGATATCAAAGTAGATATTAAAGTTAATTATCATGTTTTTTGGGATGTACAGAAGAATCTGTTTGTTTTGACCACCCAAATGTTGTAGGTTATGGATACCGAGATACGGATATTTAACAAGTTTTATGATGCTTTATACATGGTGTACGGGTGTATTATTGGAGATGGGTTTAATAAAAATATCAACTATAACACTCTTAAAGCTAATGCTGTCAGGTAAAAAATATTTTAAAAACACATTTTATTATTATTAATTATTATTTTTATAGATGTTTGTTGGCTTTCTGGGGATTGTATTGTTTTATTATAAACTCTGCATACGGAGGGAACCTAAAAGCGTTTCTCACAAATCCAGGGACTGGGCAACCCATTGATACTCTTTCTGATGTTCTTAAATCAGGACTCCCCTGGGGCATGGTAATATTTTTCTTTCAGATAGGATCTGAAATTATTCCTATACATATAAAAGTAAATTTTTCTAATTTTTTGCAGTGGAATATGAGTTTCATCTGCGGCACTGAACCACCTACTGCCAGTTCAAATTTAAACCACCGATGTAAAGTTAAAGATTCAGGAATGATTTGTAATCGGAGATTAGAATTTGAACCGGTGGTAGGCAGTTTAAATTCATTAAATCGGGTGTCAGATTCCGAGAATTATTTTTTCTGGCAAAATTTAAATTGAATCGTTAAAAAGGGGTTTACAGCTTTGTAATAGGTAAAAGGTCCAATTTGGATTAAGAAACAAATCTTTCAGCAACCGTGTAGTCGAAACCTGGAACAATTACTGCATGGAACAATTCTTAGAAACTATCCTTTTTGGATTCTTCTAGGTCAAGAGCTCTACCTGGAGTCCTTTAAGTTGTAAGGGAATGTTCATGAAAGAAGTGTTATGATTAACCAGAACTAATTGAATCAAATTTCCATCTTTTTATTTTTTTCAACATCGGAACAAAATACAGATATTTTAACATTCCGGAAAAGTTACTTTTCTCTCGTATGGTTCCTTTTCTAACAAACTCCTGTAAACAGTCTCCAGCTAATATCTCTGAACTCTATAATATTTAGCTCCGGGTTCTTTATATAGAGCAGGATAGGAGATATTATTTAGCTCCGGGTTCTTCATGGAGAGAGCAGGATAGGAGATATTATTAAGCTCCGGGTTCTTCATGGGGAGAGCAGGATAGAAGATATTATTAAGCTTCTGGTTCTTCATGCAGAGAGCAGGATAGGAGATATTACTAAGCTCCGGGTTCTTCGGAGAGACCAGAATAGGAGAAACTATTTAGCTCCAGGTTTAGGAGAGATATTTTTTAGCTCTGGGGTCTTCATGGAGAATGCAGCATAGAAGATATTATTAAGCTCCATGGGTTCTTTATGGAGAGAGTACCATTTTTCTCTGGGTACATCATGAAGAGAGCAGGATAGGAGATATTATTTAGCTCCGGGTTCTTCATGAAGAGAGTAGATTGTAGAAATTATTAAGCTCCTGGTTCTTCTTGTAGAGACCAGTGGCCGAATTTAAAGAATTTGAGCGGCGGTTTAAATTTAAACCGCGGCTTAAAAATTGTTGGTTCCACTTAAAATTGTATCAAATGTTTCAAGATTTAAGCCGGCGCTTAATTTAAACCGGGTTTTGGTAGATTTAAACCGCGGCTTAAATTCTTTAAATAGATAACTTTTTAGGGATCAGATTTAAGGAATTGTCCGTTAAGTCTTTTCTCTTGTGTTCTGTGTCAAGCTACAGGGTGTCCCATGAAACATGACAGTTGGTGAATAGTTAAGAATGTCTTCTTCCATAATTTGTTAAGTTGTTTGATATCAATTAGATAATAATACAAATATTATATGGGAATCATGTTATAGTAAAATTGGTTTCAAAGTAAAATATGTTTTAAAAAAAGATTTTTTTAACGAAATAAACTGCAAAAATCCTTTAATATCTAATAAAGTATATAAAAGACGACTTTCATAACTATTTACCAACTGTCATGTTTCGTGGGACACCCTGTAGCTAAAAAGAAGTTGTTTAATGTCGTCTACTCTATGGAGGGGGGGGGGTGGAGTAGTAGAAGTAGAAGGAGTAGGAGTAGGAGTAGAAGGTGTAAATGATATGATTTTACTCCAGGTTCTGTATGGTGAGGAGGAAGAGGAGATGATGGCATCTAGTCCTGACCCTGTGATACGAAGGATCTGGGATGACAAAGATGTTTGTATAATTATTCTTATCGTTGTTTGTATTATTTATATTTCAATATTGTGACTTCTTTGGATTTAAAGATTAATGAGATTGTCCACATTTGCTCAAAAATAATGACAAAAAAATCTTTAGTTTTTTCAATCTGTAAATTTACCAATTGTGGTGCAGGTGGGGTAACTTACGGTTTTCTACAGCAAGATACATAAAGGAAATAGCTGAGATTTTTCCCTGAAGAAACAGCTTAAAATTAGTTAAAACTCCAACATTGCTCAAGTAAAATTTATAGACAATCTTTCATGCAAACAAAATAATATCAATAAAGACTTTTTAAATCAGTTCTTTTATTAGTTAACAATAATGTTTAGGCAAAACCCTACTCCCCTACTCCCCATATTAATCCTTTATAATAATGTTTAGGTGAAACCTTACTCCCCTACTCCCCAGATTGGTCCTGTACGAGATGGACAGGGAATATTTATTGACTGGAAGTCAGGACTTGAACCTGCAATCTACTCCAAGTATAGTACTCCAGGTATAGTACTCCAAGTATAGTACTCCAGGTAGTTAAATCCAAGTATAGTACTCCAGGTATAGTACTCCAAGTATAGTACTCCAAGTATAGTACTCCAGGTAATTTACTCCAAGTATAGTACACCAGTTAGGATACTCCAAGTTTAGTACTCCAGGTTGTATACTCAAGTATAGTACTCCAGGTAATATTCTCCATGCTTAGTACTCCAGGTAATATACTCCAAGTTTAGTACTCCAGGCAGTATACTCCAAGTATAGTCCTTTAGGTAGTATACTCCAAGTATAGTAATCCAGGTAGTATACTCCAAGTATAGTACTCTAGGTAGTATACTCCGAGTAAAGTACTCCAAGTAGTATACTCCAAGTGTAGTTCTCCAGGTAGTATACGTATTACGTCACAAGAATTCCCAACAATGAGAGTTTAGTATACTGGTCACGTGATACAGACAGAGACATGTGATCACTATAATGCACTACCATTGGTGGGAGTTCTGGTTACGTACTACAGACTTATAAATAATATTATCTATTATACCTATTAAAAATAAAATTAAAAATTATAAAATAATAATTGGTGAAAACCTAAGTTAGCATTAGGTTTCTCTGGGATATCCTCGTTTTCAGAATGGTTGCATATTTGCTGAACATGATCTGTTTAAACCTACTAATTCTAAACAAAATAGTATTTATAAAAATTTTCGTATAAAGGAATTGAGTTTTTGTCACAAACTCTGATCTTCTTATCCTTAATCTTTGCATTTGAATGTCAGAGACCTTAGATATTTCAAACTATGAATCATTTTAGATCAAATGATAGTTTGAAATATCAAAGGTTTACACAATCAGGTTTAAAAGATATGGCGAATGTAAAATCATAATTTGTGGCAAAAACTCAGTTCATTTGACACAGTTTTATATCCATTTCTCAAGACAGGAACATCATATATAACTTTCATGGGTCACGATAAAGAGAGATTACAACTTTATATATATAGATGAATGTTAATCTAATCTAAATAATGTACTCAGGCGGAGATCCCTTGGTTCATATCTCTTCCACCCCTGTGTTTATATATATAGATGAATGATAATCTAATCTAAATAATGTACTCAGGCGGAGATCCCTTGGTTCATATCTCTTCCACCCCTGTGTTTATATATAGATGAATGTTAATCTAATCTAAATAATGTACCCAGGTGGAGATCCCTTGGTTCATATCTCTTCCACCCCTGTGTTTATGCCGAACTTTGCAGGTAGAAGACAGGGTGATCCATAAAATTTTAGAGACGGTAAAGGAACTGAGTCTTTGCATCAAACTCAGATTTTCTAATCCCTGTATCTTTGTAACTCAATGTCGTTGTATAGATTATATAGGGATTTTAAATTTGAGTTTGTGGCAAAGAATAAGTTCCATTATCCAACTCTTTTTGGTCATCAATAAATTCGCTGCAGCTGTAGTTATATTTTTTTCATAGCCAAACAAGCTTGTTAGTCGTAAAATGACTATGTTAAACCAGATGAACAAATCCAACCTTAAAATTTTAGGATGTCGTTAAAGCCTAATTCTTTGTGAATTACCCTGTTCTTTGCTTATCTTTTCTAGAAATAATTTTACTTTTTAAATGAATTACTTTACATTCCACTTTGTTTTCAACAGACAGCATGAAATTTAAAATTTCGCAGATTTCTTTCTCGTTCGTGGATTTCAGAATTTTTTTGCTTCGACACAGAACCTAAACGTTCCCCCTCCCTGAGACGGATATTTAAGAAAGTATCGTTAAAAGAAACTCCCGAGGTTCCTTTTTGGGGTCTTAACATTTGTGTGGATTTTAATTTAAGAAATAAGAAACAAAAAAGATGTAGTCAATGCCCTACTCCAATAAATGCTTTTAGTTCTGTACCAATCCGGGTATAACCATTCGTATCCTTAAGTAACTGTCTTACAAGATACAAGTCAATCGCGAACTCCAGGTCGCTCAATTATCTCAGGTATCTGTCTTACAAGATACATGTAATCGCGTTATGTTGACATCTCATTAACTTTCTTCCTTATCTGATTCATCTAACACCAATCCAGGCATAGGGACCTGTCCTGTTTTTCACATTTTATCCATTCTTGTGCTTTTTCCCTCTGTCTCAAAACAATATGAGTTTTTTAATCTTGCCATATCATGGGAAGTAGCCATGGGATCTGTGATGATTGTTCTCAGGTTGACCAGCTGATAATCTGCAGTATTGCCTTGATCTGGCTTTAATATTGCAGTACCTTAGGCATGAACTGCAAGCATTTTCTCTTTAGCTCCATATGGTACAGTCCTAGGATCGTTGGATTCTTGAACTCTCCCAGACTCCTCTTGGCTGGAGCATATTCCTGTCTCCAGCCCTCCTCATCTTTTTCTTGTTAGAATTTCTTCAAAAGCTCTGTAAAAAAACTCTCCTGTCTCAAAGTTCTCAAATGCTAATTCTTCTCCTGTAGGCTGCAACAGCACTAGTCTTGTCTAGCGGATTCCGTGATGCATGACAATAGCATCCTTTTTACTGCTTCGTTTGGGATTGTTTCCCATTTATGGTTAGACAAATGGTTTTCCAATTTCTCACACTATTTGAACACTTCTTTTGGGTGTTCACCATATTTCAGAGCCTTTTCTACGAAAGTCGGCATTCTTTTATCAAGATTAGCCTCATATTTGCCTAGCTTTTTGTAAGTATCCGCGTTTGCTGTCCCATTTGTAACCTGAGCTGTGTGCATCTAGGTGTTCTTTGCATTTCTGTTTGCATTCGTAACCTTGCCTCTCTCCAGCATTGCTGCCACTCTTGTAATGTAATGGGCCATCCAGTGTTGCACTATTTTTCCACGTCTGCAAAAATGACTGATTTTCTTTCTTAGCTTTCACTTCTTGCACTTCTTGTTTCAATGCACTTGCATCCAGCTTCATTTGCTCCATGTTTTGCATTATGATTTGGAACTCTGAAAGTGGAGGGTTTCCCCTTGCTCTGGTTTCAGTCATGTTTGGTTCTGTATCCGATCCGTAGCCTAGGGTATAATCCAACACTGTTCAGTGTTACTGTTGCTGCTTCTTCTGACACAATATCTACTCGTAGTGCTTCTCTTAATACTCAGTTAAACCAGGTACTGACTTGGTTTTCCTTGGAGACCGTGGCATTTAACTAGGGTTCGTTTAATTTTAGAAATTAACAAATAGATATGATCAAATCCGCGAACTCATTTTGCTATTGTTATTGTTAATATGGGTGAAAAAACCTGCCTGACCCCATCATGAAACCATGTTTTCACTACTGTGTTTTATTACGATACGATGTCTTAAGTTTCGGGCTCTGTGGTTATATGCAAATGTATGGATTTTAAACTGTTACTTCTGACTTTTCATGTTATTTTGTGAATGGTTAATTTTTTTGATATTTATCAATGAGGAAAAACTGCATAATTGATGATTTTAGTTTCTATCCAATTTTAATCAAATTTCAATGAATTTTAGTTTTGGTTTCCATATATAGGGTGTCCCACGAAACATGACAGTTGATGAATAATTTTTGATGTCTTCTTTCGTGATACTGTACTTGTAATTAAAGACCTTTGGCAGTTGATTTCGTAAAACAGATCTTTTACTCAAATATTTATTACTTTGAAATCAATTTTACTATACTCATGATAGTATTTCTTATCATCGTCTTTGGCATCAAACAACTTTACAAATTATGGAAGAAGACATTTTAAACTATTCACCAACTGCCATGTCTATTGGGACACCCTGTATCATAAACAACTAGCAAAGGAACCCATGGCTTTGACTGGAAGACAACTTCTCCCTGTCAACTTACTCAACTCAGAGCTTTTTAGAAATGAATTAATATTTGTAAAAAATAAAATATATTTAAAATATTTTTTTTATCAAATTAAAAACCTATTCTAGGTTAGGGGTTCCAAAAACTATATTCTAGGATGGGGGTTCCAAAAATTATATTTTAGGATGGGGGTTCCATAAATTATATTCTAGGATAGGGGTTCCAAAATCTATATTTTAGGATGGGGGTTCCATAAATTTAACCCCTGGAAGGTCACTTTTGACGAAGCCATTCAGCGATTAATAGAGGTAAAACTATTTATTTTCTTTAAATCCTTTTTTCATTCTCTCTGGTTTCTGTGTTGAATTATTTTTCGGCCTTTCCTGGAGTTTTCTTTATTCTTACATATAGGAGTTGAGTTTGAACAATTCTTCTTTTGTCGTAATCTACAGTCATAATCAGATTCAGAAAAACTTGGAATTAATTCATAGTTTATCGGCGACTTTACACATATCTCTGGCAATTTTAAATGCTCAAAAAAGGCAGACCACATTTTGGAAATGGCAGGCCTAGGGATATTCAGTGATTATCGTTTCGTCTATCATATTTGTAAGATTAGACTGTAAAGTAGTCTCATTAATTGTAAACAAATTTCGGGTCTTTTTTCAAGTTCATAGTTCCGTGCATTCATGAACATATTTCGCAAAATCATATGCTTACATTTTAGGATAAGTATTCTGTTTCAGGAAAATATTTTTAAGATCTATATTTGAGGTGAAATATTAAATTGGTAATCCTTTGATGATGATGATAAAAATATATATAACAATAACCGTCCTAGCTATACTTTTCAGACATCTGATCTAGCTGGGTCCAAAGTTTTCAAATTTTGGGTTTCTTTGATTTACAACTTAGTTTTGGGATGATTTGCTGCTATGTACTTTTTCGGTTTTTTTAAAAGAGAAGCTTCTTGATATCAGATTGGAAAATTATTCCTTTCTTTAATTGTAAAACGTTCCATAAACAGACTTAATTCTGTCCTATCTGTATTATCTGTCTAATCTCTACCACTCCTGTCCTATTTGTCTAATCTATCTAATTTCGGTACCTGTTGTCCTATCTGTATTATCTGTCTAATCTTTATACCTATTGTCCTAAATGTACATCTGTCTAATCTCTACCACTCCTGTCCTATTTGTCTTATCTGTCTAATCTCGGTACCTATTTTCCTATCTGTATTATCTGTCTAATCTCTACCACTACTGTCCTATCTGTATTATCTGACTAATCTTTATACCTATTGTCCTAAATGTTTATCTGTCTAATCTCTACCACTCCTGTTCTATTTGTCTTATCTGTCTAATCTTGGTACCTATTGTCCTATCTGTATTATCTGTCTAATCTCTACCACTACTGTCCTATCTGTATTATCTGTCTAATCTCTACCACTCCTGTCCTATTTGTCTTATTTGTCTAATCTCGGTACCTATTGTCATATCTGTATTATCTGTATAATCTCTACCACTACTGTCCTATCTGTATTATCTGTCTAATCTCTACCACTCCTGTCCTATTTGTCTAATCTGTCTAATCTCGGTACCTGTTGTCATAAATGTATATCTGTCTAATCTTTACCACTCCTGTCCTATTTGTCTCATCTGTCTAATCTCTATACCTCTTGTCCTAAATGTCTATCTGTCTAATCTCTACCACTCCTGTCCTGTCCTATTTGTCAAATCTGTCTAATCTCTATACCTGTTGTCCTAAATGTCTATCTGTCTAATCTCTACCACTCCTGTCCTGTCCTATTTGTCAAATCTGTCTAATCTCTTTACCTGTTGTCCTAAATGTCTGTCTGTCAAATCTCTACTACTTCTGTCCTATTATTTTGATATGTCTAATCTCTATACCTATTGTCCTAAATGTATATCTGTCTAATCTCTACTACTTCTGTCCTATTAGTCTAATCTGTCTAGTCCAAGGAGTATGAAATAGAAGGGAGATAGAACTGACGCGGCCCGCCCTACCATATGATTATACATGCTTTGCAGACAGTACTCTATTTGTATAAGAAATATTTAGAATAGGTTATTGTATGCTTTGTAATTGTACATCAGACAAATATTTTTTATTTAAATGGAGTACCGTCTGCAAAGCTTGTATTCATATGGTAGGGCGGGCCGCGTCAGTTATATCTCCCTTCTATTTCATACTCCTTGGACTAGTCTCTAGTTTCAGTTTCTTGCTTTGGTCCGCTCTTCAGCTCAATTTGTTCCGATTCCCTTCGATCAGGATTTTGTAGATTACTTCTAAAAACCTTTTAACGGCGAACATTTTGAAGTTTTAAGATCATAGAAATGATTAAAATATTCTACTTTAGATCGCTTTCTGTATTATTATAAAAATCCGGGGATAATAAACTTATAGGACCGCAGGCGGGATTAATAAACGTATTGTATTTGTACTGCAGGCGGGACAAATAAAGGTGTAGTACTGCAGGTGGGTCTAATAAACTTATAGAACGGCAGGCGGTACTAATAAACTAATAATAATGCAGGCGGGACTAAAAAAATATCGCACTGCAGGCGGGTATAATAAACCTTTTGTACTTCAGGCGGGACTAATATACTTATTGTACTGCAGGCTGGACCAATATACCTATTGTACTGCAAGCTGGACCGATATACCTATTGTACTGCAGGCGGGGCTGATAAATGAGTACAAGAAGAGGACCTGGGTGAGGATGAAGCAGGAAGCAGTTCTGGCTGGAGAAGTTGATGAATATGTTATACCTCCAGCTATAGCTCCAATATATATGGAGGACATGCAGGGAGACACAGTATCACATATCATTTAACTTCAATATTTCAAACTTAGATTATCTAACAAAATCCAAAAAAAATCTAAGGTCTTAAATAAATTGGGTTGCTAAGATATAGGGATTAAAACATCAGAGTTTGTGGCAAATGCTTCATTCCTTTTTCCGAATCCTTATCAACTTTTTTCATTTGACTTTCTAGCAGCGTTTTGATTAAGCAACTTTTTGGATTTCTTTTGTAAAATATTCACAAGAAATTTATTCTTTATTCTATTTGAGGTTAAAATGAAGATGAGATAAAAAATATTTGCTTTCAAAAAGGACATGCCTATTTTTGTTGTGCAGTGGAAAAAATACTGCCGATGACCTACTTTTAGCTATTAAGTGGTTTCAGACATTTCTGTTGATAATGACTTTACCATCTTATTGAGTACACTGTGTACACTGTGTACTGTACAGTCTGCGTTCTACCTGCTTAGCCTGTTCAGTTTATCAGCTTTTGTCGTCTTCTTTACGGAGCTACTTATCAAAAAGTATAAAATAATATAATAAAATTGTACGGAAACTTTTAAAATCAATAAAGAATTCTATTTAAAATGTCTAAAATTAAGAATGTTTTCCTTCTGAATGAAACCATTTAATTCTTAAATCCCCTCCCCCCCCCCCTGATTTGAATGATTGAATTTGAATTGGCAATCAAGACTTTTCAGAGAGTAGATTAAGAAAAAGCAGCGAAGAAATTGATTCAGTATTTTTCCAATTTCTAGGGAGTTTTTATATTTTTCTTTAAAACATATTAGGTGATCATAAATGAGAGGAACAAAGGTATATGAGGGCGAGGAAGGCATTTAACAGAATAGAATCTGATTTTAATTTGATTATTTGTTGTGAAGTGTGTCCCAAGAAACATGGGACTGAAGCAATTTAGCTTAAAATCTTTTTAGTTAAGGAATAGTTTGTTTTTTAAGTTTGTACGTCTTATGAGCTTCCTAAATTGGAGGGCTTGCAGTTATATAATTGAAACTATTTATGATATTGAATAATTCTAAATCTTTGCAAATTTATAAATTTAGCTAGGTGCAAAATATGCAGACTACATTTTAAAATCCCAAGACTATATAGGATGAATTCATATTTCACCTGGCACTGTTAAGCTTGGACTCAAGGGAAAACTGTTTTTGTGAGAATTTAAGAAGATTATAAAGTAATTGTTTGTTCCCATATTTTTGATGCATCACTGTACCAGATAGAAACCCAAATATGTTTGTTTTTATATTTCATGCTTTTAAGCAACACTGCAAATACACAGACATAAATGAAATATTATTGATTTGATTTTCTTTTCAATCAAATCTAATTTTGGAAATTGTGCAATTTGCTGATATCAACTGCAGATATGGAAGGAAACCATATTTTGACAATATTTTTAAAAACATTTATTTTAGTTTTAAAAAAATCTTTTTCATTTTCTCTATTTCACCAGAGTTTTTTAGAACAAATTAGCATAAACACATAAATTTTAACCTTAAAGAGAAAATTTAAATATTTAATGGTTAAAAACCAGGCTAAACCTTTGCTGCCTATTATCAGCATTGAAATATAGCAGAAAGATTGCCACCGAATTTGTAGGACAAAAGGGGTTTCCCCGCCTTTTGACAAGAAATACCAAACCATGAAATTTAAATTTCTTTTCTTGTTCTTCTTCTTCTTCTTCATCTTCTTGACCTCCACCTCCTCCTCCACCTCCTCCTCCGCCTCCTTCTTTCGACTCTGCTGTAAATCAAGGACTATAAGATGTGTATAATCAATCAACGTCAAAGCATGAATGTAAACCAACAGATTTTCAATGAAAAACCTTTAAATATACTTCACAATCTTTGCATATATCAAATCAAAGCATTTTCAATGAATTCAAGACGCTTGGTGACCCAGCTGGAAAATTATTCTTTCTTTCCACCGTTTTCTTTTTTTCTACTGTGATCGGAACTCTTTTTTTCATCCGCAAATGTCTTTTTGTGGAGCTCCGGCATCAAATGATTAAAAGCCGTCTTTTTTTAGTCTGCAACTGTTTGCTGTCGGAGTTTGACTCAAGCCCAAGATCAAAAAATCCACATTTTCTTAAAGAAAATCTCAATAAAAGTATAATTTTGATTTTTTCCACTTTATTTAATTATTGAATCAATATCTTTCAAAAGTTTTTCTGATCAAACAAGAAGGAAAATAACTCACAATTATTAAGTTTTGATATTAAAAGAAACTTTTCATGCCAGTTGGAAAGTTCTGCACTTCTGGGGAGAAATAATTGTTAATTTTCCTCTTAATTGATTTTTTAAAGGAAAAATGACAAGGTTAAATCATAAATTTATAGAGGACGTGAGTCAGACTCTAAATAACAACGCATAAATAACTTCCAGTATATATATTTCTTATAACTTATTACTAGAGGGTTCAGAAAACGCTTAGGCCGAGGTTAATCAATCTTGTTACACAATGTCTGAGAAAATTTATCAATGTAAAGATATCAATGTACAAAGGTGGCAGGTTTACATTCTACCAGAATTTATAGTTTGAAATATTTAAATTTTGGGTTGCAAAGCAATACTAGGATTAGAAAATTTGAGTTTGTGACAAAACCTCAGTCCCACATGCTTATTTCTCTGTTATCTATTTGTCATAAAGATTGATAAATATTTTGAAATCTGTCATCAAATGTTCAAAAATTTCAAATCTAACATGGAAAATTTCAATTCAACATTCAAATATTTCATTTCTTGAATAATGACATGTTCATTGTGCATTGTAGATTATACAAAGGATAAAAATAATTAAAGAAAATACAGGGTGTCCGAATACAGGGTGTCCGAATAAACTTTACAGTTAAAAGATGACTTAAATATCGTCATTGTTCCTTGATGCCTATATCTTACTTAAAAAAAGTACACACTATTCGATACAATTTTCTGAGTGTACCATTAAAAAAAGTAAAATATTTCTGATGAGAATTTAAATTTTCAATACTCAAGAAATCTGTTGATCTGTTGATAAAACGGACCCCAAAACGGACCCAAAACGGACATCAAAACGGACCTCTAAACAGACCTGAAACGGACCTCAAAATGAACCTCAAAATGGACCTCAATCAAAATAAACCTCAATCGGACCTCAAAACTGAGCTCAAAACGGATCTCAAAACGGACCTCAAAACGGACTTCAATATGGACCACAGAACGATACCCATCACTGCTCACACAGTTTAGGCATTTTTTCAGAATTCAAAAGCTAGGAGAAACTACAGGAGAAACTACAGTAGAAACTGTGGAAGAAACTACAGGAGAAACTACAGGAGAACTACAGGAGAACTATAGGAGAACTACAGGAGAACTACAGGAGAACTACAGGAGAAACTACAGGAGAAACTACAGGAGAACTACAGGAGAACTACAAGAGAACTACAGGAGAACTACAGGAGAACTACAAGAGAACTACAGGAAAAGTACAGGAGAACTACAGGAGAACTATAGGAGAACTACAGGAGAACTACAGGAGAACTACAGGAGAACTACAGGAGAACTACAGGAGAACTACAGGAGAACTACAGGAGAACTCCAGGAGAACTCCAGAAAAACTACAGGAGAACTACAAGAGAAACTACAGGAGAACTACAGGAGAACTACAGGAGAACTACAGGAGAAGTACAGGAGAAGTACAGGAGAACTAGAACTACAGGAGAACTACAGGAGAACTACAGGAGAACTCCAGGAGAAACTACAGGAGAACTCCAGGAGAACTACAGGAGAACTACAGGAGAACTACAGGAGAACTACAGGAGAACTACAGGAGAACTCCAGAAAAACTACAGGAGAACTACAGGAGAACTACAGGAGAACTCCAGGAGACACCTTGAATGTTGGAAGCTCCTGTTAAATTCTTACTGCAGGGTGGACTGAAGTAATTTATATTTTATGAATCCTATGGTCAGTGAACATTGAACAATGTAGTCTACCCATAAAATTATTCACAATATCTTGGCTCAAAAGAAATTTTTAAAATTTTGGATTTCCCAAAAAAATTGGATTTACTAAAAGGTTAATATAATTTTGGATCCGTTAAAAAAATCATGAAAATTGTGAAAACAGTTGATTTAAAATCTATATTGGATAATGACAGTTATAGTGACAAAAGACATCTTCAAACTTAAAACGATGCTGTTTTTTTCTTTTCTTCTCAACTCCTGAAGCCCCCCCCCCCCCCTCATTTTTAGTGAAATCCATTTTTTACCTACGCTGATAGACTGAAACTTTGCTTTTCAAAAAGATATATTTTGTGATATCCACTCAAATTAAATCCACACAGTAATACAGTAATTTAGTTTTAATTTGTGGGGGTGGGGGGGATCCCTAAGAAACTACATTACCTTCGGTTTTTTAATGAAAAAATATTTTTAAGACTGCGAGATTTTACTAAGAGTAGCTGTGATAGGTTTTACTTGTACGCGGTCAGTAATTGATATTTTTCAAAGAAATTCTTTTTACTTTCAATCTGCTTTATTGTCTTTGAATCTTTACGCATAAATCTAAAATTTACAGAATTAAGAAAAATGTTCTACTCATGTGCAAATACTAAAGACATGCTTAAAGGGACTGTAAAGGAAAAATGAAAGGGGGTATAGGATAAAACCTGAGAATCTCAGGAGTTGAACGATACCTATAAGACATCTATCTAATGTTCCTGTCTCGAGAAGTGTCAAAATTATACCAAAGCGTATATATGTAAGATATACGTCCGTATCATGTGTTCAGAACTTCCTCCAATGGCAGTGCAGTATACTGGTAACGTGATATCTGTTGATATCCGGGTTAAAATGTTCTTGAATTTGTCCAAACTCCTGTGTGGGAAAAAGTTAAGATCCAACTTGTATTCCCGTGGAAGGATCCGACCATAACAAAACTTTTAATATCTATCAGGGTAAAAAGGTACATTTTGGAACCAAATATCTTTATACGAGGTTACCCACACAGGATGAGACTGTAAAGACGACCTCAAACTTGTTGAACATGACGATTCTAAGCTTATATAAAGTCTTGACTATAGTCTTTTTATGACTCATTTAATGATTTAAAAAAGAATAAAGCAAGTTTGAAGTTACAGGTAACCATGAATAGAAGACAATATAGATTCCGTACAGTCGTCTCTACAGTCTACTCCTTTGTAGGTATCCCTGTATGCTAATATTACTTTTCTACTCTACTCTGCTATACAAAGTAATAGAAAGGTTTGAAACTTTGTTTTAATCATCGTTAATCTTGAACACTTAATCTCTATATTCCTAATGGACACTTTTTTTACTTAAGCATCAATGCTTGATCCCTCAATTGAAGGTATCCCTGGAGGATATTACCACAATGGGATAGTTAAATAGTCAGTAGGTCTGCATAACATTGAGATCAATGCTTGATCCTCAATTAAAGATATCCCTGCAGGATATTACCACAATGGGATGCTTTAATATTTAGTAGGTCTGCATAACATTGAGATCAATGCTTGATCCTCAATTAAAGATATCCCTGCAGGATATTACCACAATGGGAT